ACAAAATGATAGAGTACATCCTTCTGGAAGCCATTTCTAAGTATATGAAATGCAAGGTGACTGGGAATAGCCATCAAGGATTAACCAAAAAAATTACACCTGACCAACTAGGCCATTTTCTACTACGAAACGTCTGTCTTTGTGAATGTGGAGAAAGCAGACTGTCACCTGGACTTCAGTAAAACCTTCAATGCTGTCTCTGACAGCAGCCTTGTAGCTGAATTGAGGAGAGATGGATTGTATAGGTTAACTATAACGTGGCTAAAAACTGGCAAGACACTTGGGCAAAGAGAGATATGGTCAATGCTAACAAACTCAGTTGGGCTGGTTGTGAATGCCATCCTTCAGGGACTGATATAGCACTCTTCATCTTCATATTCCGTTTATCCTCATGCTCTCTGATACCTTCATCAATGACCAGGACAGTCATATAGATGAACCTCAAGAAATTCAGCAACGGGAAATGCCAAATGCTGTGTCTGGCAAGGAATAACCCCATGCACCAGCACAGGCTGGGTACAACTAGATTAAAAGCAGATTTGCAGAAGCAGATAGGGGATCCTGGAGGGTGTTGGTTTGAACATGAGTCAGAAGTGTAATCTCACCTCTATGGTTGCATGTCCAGGCTCACTCATGTTGGGACCCAAATTTACAACTTCATTGCAGACATAGAAAGTGTGGCTGAGGATTTTTCAAAATTAGACAGTTAATTAAACATTATATACATAAGTAACCTCTTCCATCCCAGGGGGTGAAAGTATCCGACACTACATGCAGTGCTGTTCTGGGGAGACCTCATTGTGGCCTTCCAGTACTTGAAGGGGGCTTATAAAAAAAGAGGGAGAGAGACTTTTGATAGAGAGAACAAGGGACAATGATTTTAAACTGAAAGAAGACAGATTCAGACTACACATTACGATGAAATTCTTTACTCAGAGAGTAGTGGGGCACTGGAACAGGTTTCTCAGAGAAGCTGTGGATACCCCATCCTGGAAAGTGTTCAAGGACAGAATTGGATGGGGCTTGAGCAAACTAATCTAGGATGTGACATCCCTGTCCATGGAAGGAGGGTTGGAATGAGATGATCTTTAAGATCCCTTCCAACCCAAACCACTATATGATTCTATGTATTTATATTAATCCTCTCTTTGAGCTGTTTCCAAGCTGACTGGTTGCTGCAAATCCGCTCAGTCAAACCTGAAAATATGTACTCACAAATATCACAGAAGCCACCCTCCAGTGGCATACGTATAGCAACTGAGTGGAAAACTGAACTGGGGTAATTCTCAAGGAAGCTGTATTCCTATTACACCTGAACTTTCTAAATACTAGCATGCATGTAAATCATCATTCATTTTGACCTCTGCAGGGTTTCAATGTACAAATTTGTAATATTACATAAAATTTCTAAATTTTATATTTTCTGGGGATTTTTTTAGGCTAACTTTCAGTCTCCATCAGCACAATTCTGAATTCTGCTTGAGTTCAGAATATGTAATTGACTGTAAATTTCATTCAAATGCCAGCTGTCATCTCTAATAACTTATCAAGCATAACAAGCAAACGGAGAACTTTTAATAGCAAGCGAAACACTGTCGAACTGAATTTATTTCCAGATGTGGAGAGAGAGGTTTTCACTTCTTCCTCCAACAGGACTGGTGTTCTAATGCCTTTCAGCATGATTTTTAAGGCATTCATTTGTTATGTAACATCCATCAATTATAAAATATATTTATGAGGTCTTGCTAGCAGTCGTTAACAGCGGTACTGTGGGATCACATTTACAAGGCCTAATGAAATGGGAGAGCAAGAGTAATTGGATTGAAATTGGTAAATGAAAACTTATTCCAAGGGAAAAAAGGTGTAAAATTGATGAGGTCTGACGTGTCATCAAATATGAGCATTAAATTAAGATTCAGTGAAGACATATAGTGCTTATTGTAAGTGTTTAATTGCAAGAATAACAAATGCCTCACAGAAATGCACAGTTAAGAATTAACCTCTTTCTACTGCTAAATGGAGTCATGCAGATAAATAATTTCCTATCCTCAGACTGACTGTTTGTCCCACATTTTTATGTGATTTTTTTTTATTTTTATATAAAATAAAAAGTAAAATTATTATTATTAAAAGAAATAATTTATTTGGTGAATTTAAATCAGATGCTTGGGAGTACTTTATCTGTATTTCAAAAAAAAAAACAAATGCATTCCAGCTGATCCTCAGAGGAAAAGTTAGGCATTAGAAAAATTAGAATTCTGAAAAGTTTGAGCTGTTTTTCCTTTTAAGAAAAAGCATTTGCTAGTAATTAAAAATTGCTAACCAATGAGCTGAACTCGAAGGTCTCCAGTTAGTGCCAGCTACCTTTGGCCAGAATGAAAAATGACATATATTGCACCAAAGTTTAGGGTGTCTTCGAAAGAGTCTGCATGGATTCAATAATGATTTTTTTTTTGAGTAATAATCCAGTAGCGTCAGCAGGTTTTTTCCTATTCTAATCTAGAAAACTCAAGAATCTATTGCACTAGAAATAAAATTCTTCAATCATTTGACTGAATGTATAAAATCAAATAACAATAAATTGCTGCATTTTGATGAATCCATAGTGTCACACAAGGCTAAGATGCCTTGTTTTCAGGACTGCTAAGCCTATAACCTGTTTTCTCAAATGGCCACTCACCTCTTACATAGATTGCTTATCTGAGCTCCTTGTTTGCAGTACAGATCAGTAAAGAAAATAACAAGAAACTACTGTTGGGTGCATGCTAAGTAAAGATGTAAGAAATAATCCATAAATGCCTGATCAGCAACCTCAATACTTTCTCTGTCCCCAGCCCTGAAATCATTGCTGTACAACTGTGACAAAACAAAGCCCAAATAGCTAAAGAAGTTCAGTTTGCATTATGATAGTGGCTCTGAATGATGCAGAAGACTAGTAGCTATAACTGGTGCAAACTGCTAAACTGGTGGTTTATCTAGCAAACTGAGTGTAGCATTACTCCATCTTTTCACAGAAAAAGGCAACAGACAAAAAATTTTGTGGCTAGTATATTTCAGCTGCTGAACAGCATAATAAATAGCAGAAATAAATTAGTTTTGCTGCCTGGAAAGGGTCTTTATGAAAGATGTCTAGCCTCTTAGGAGATATTACTTTAGAACAGGAAGAAACCTGTGTGGTGACCACAGAATAAAATGAAGAAAATTCCTCCTACCACCTGCAATGCATTGGAGGGCTGTGTCTTCTGCAGCATCCTGACAGACACCTCAGGTTTACTGCATAAGTCATCATGCTAGGTTTCCCAAAGGTGCAAAGAACTGACTCTGGACCTCCGTGGACATGTATGCCTTCTAGTGTGTAGTAGGTCAGCTACATGCATTTTCCGCAGAATATTATTCATAGTCCTGGAAAAGACTGCTATAATCATGTCACTCACAAGAAATTACTAGTCTGAACTGTCCAGCAAAAGTCAGAACATTTTTGCTAGTTACTTCCACATTGAAGATAATTATTTTTCCCTACAACAGACCAGAGCTCAATAGCTTGGTGGTTGAAGCAGAGCGCTTATTTTAGAAAGACAGCCAATCTTGATTTAAAGATGCCAGGTGACAAATTTACAACATTCCTTGGAAATCTGTTCTGATTGTCAGCTGCTCTCATTTGAAAAGTTGCATCTTATTTCCAAATCTGTTTAAGTTCAGCTTGAAGCTGATTGAGTCCTGTTGTAATTTGCCTCCTATAATAACATTTCCACAGCACAAAAATTGTTCTCCCTGTGTAGGGATTTTCACTCCTACCATGCTGATGTTACTGTGAAAGGGGGAAAAAAGAATATAGAAAGGCAGACATTTTGAGATGGGACATATTTTCTCAATTCTGTGACACCAACTACTTTATTCCTGAAATACCAGTTTGCATGTGTGTGCTATCAATATGATGTTTGACCACTCTGGTCATGAAAGTCAGCTCAAAACACACTCAGAAGTATGAGAGCACATTGCCAGGGATAACAAGTCACTTGCTTTGCACAGCCCAAACTCTGAAAATCTAACCCAGATGCTGCTACTGCTATAAGAGCAAACAGCCATGGTCGTACAGCAGCTGTTTCTAGGAGGTGGGGCAGGCTTCCTCTGGTACCAGCAGTCACCAGTGCTCATCAACATCTCCAACTGCTGTAAGCAGCAAGGCTGATTTTTCACCTGATTGTCTGTCCTATCTATACAATTTCTTTTGCCACAGGCCCTATCCTACCCATTAGGGAAAAAGTCAGTTTTGTTTCTGCTGCTGAGAAGGCTTGATATATGACATTTTACAATAGAAATCCAACTACCAGCACTAAAGGATGACAAAAAACAAAATTCTGTCCCTAATTTACCAGCTGATACAGTAAGTACATTAATTATATTACTACTACGTTAGAAATACTGCCAAGGTTAATTGTCCTTCTCACAAGCTTGGTAGGTGATTACATAAATACCTGAGAATATTTACTCTGAAAAGTTCTTTTCAAGCAGCCTGGTTTTTTTTAAATTGTTGTTTCACATCTAAATCTGTCAGCAAGATAGAAAAAGCACAGACAATGCCAACTTGTCTGTTTGTTTAGATCATATTTAAGCAATTTTTCCATGTTTATTCCTCTTCTGTTTTCAGATTAACACAGCTGTTTCACTCAGGCAAATCATTACTCACCAATCATAACAAAGAGCTAGTAGTGAGGGACAAAATACCAGCAAGTTTACAAGTTGTTGAATTCTAAATTGAATGAAAGGAAGCACCTTGGGCGCTATCTCACACTACAAGTTGACATGTCATTCTGCAGCCTCTAGCCTTACCTTTTCTTAACATCAGCTGAAAAACAAAGACACTATGCTGTTAAAGCAGCTGCTGTACCTCTAGGCAGGTAACAGTATCATCTTCATGAATGACATCTATGTCACATTTGTGGCATGCCAGGAAGCCCTTAAAATCTGCAGATCAAAACAATGCAATATTTTCATATTGACCTTGAGGTGATGATCAAATATGGTGATTTGCAAACTGCAGACGTGTAGGCCAGCTGTGCAACAATGGATCTGTTAGAAATTTTTGCTATGTCAAATATCTATTTATATCCAAAGTAATATATTCATCCTATTTTCAACATGGAAAACAGAAAGAGTATTGCCGTCTTTGATAGTGAGTCTGTTTCTATAAATGTACTCATCTGTATTATTTTAATATGATCACTTCTTCATGGAGCTTCTCACAGCTCCCTCCAATTTAACACAAACTGGTAAATATATCTATCTCATTTATTTGAAATAACAGTCAGTAGATAGCTCTGTTCTGTACTGCTGAAACATTCTATTGCTATCTTCAATAGAGCACTAGAGATTGACCATTTAATAACTTGTTGTTTTATGTATTTTTTTCAGTTCTTAAGCTGAGGTAATTCTTTACTTTTCTTGTCTTGATATATTTTATTAATTGTTAGATATATTTTACAGAAATGGAAACCAAAAATGTGGCAATGAATAGGTCAGTGCTAGCATTTGTGCAATATATGCATTTCTGGAAAACAAGAATTACATGCCCAAGTTAAAAAATGCTGGAAGGATTAGCATTTGTATGATTTAACAGCCTTTAACAAGCTACACCACTCCATCATCTGGAGCAGCAATGTAACCAAACAGAAGTGATGTACAGCTGTTTCACCACCTAATGAAACGTAACTAAGCAGTCTAAACTGTGCTTGGCAGATTGGTCTTTTAGGAATGAGAACTACAAACCCCAGTACTCAGAACAGTAAGCTCCTTAAGCAGATAATATTAAGGAAGAAAGATTGCATTGTAAATGTGTTGCTTTCTTGAAGACATAGGCTTTTTCTGGTTATAGCAAAGGTTGGGGTTTGTAATCCTCAGTCTTCTTCTGGAGCTGGAGCCCTGAAGGGTCACTGAATCCGACAGTATTTCATGTTGGAAGGGAACTCAGGAGGTCACCTGCTCAAACTTGCTGCTCATTATAAGGTTGGTGCTTGAGGCAACCTGCTTATTACACTCTGCCTAAAATCTTTGCATCTTCACCTGAGTTAAATTTCATAAATTGGGGAATTATGTGTTCTTTCAGTCCTTTGTGTATCCCAGTGCAAGTCTATATTTAACTGTTTTTCCATTCACTAAGCAATGTGTGGAGGCTTAAAACTTCTCATAAGTGAAGGGGAAAATTCGGATCTGTTCCAGCATGGTCTAGGATGGCAAAGAGGAAGAGTTCATAGTAGTTGTTTGAGGGGCTTTAGAGAGGAATGGAAGATGAACTGTGACTCTTGGGTGTTGTTAACAATATAGGAATACAGAAGATTGAAACTAGTTTTCAGGAGGACTTAGTGTATCTCTCAAACTTTTCCTAGTCCATGTGGTCACGATTTGCAATTTTTTTCTCTTCTTCTGTTCATATTCAATCTGTGCCACTGAAATAGTCTTCAGATCTTGTCCATAGATAGGCAGGCAACTACTTAGTGTGTAGAAAGAACCTTAATGGAAATCTAGTCAATTAACATGGTCAAAGATGCGATAGCCTAAGCATATTCTGATTATTCAAGCAGTTGTGAAAATTTACTGCTGAAGGTATAGACATGTATCATCTGGCTCCAGAATTAGTTAAGGGCTGGATGATTATTCCTGGTGTTACAACTCTAGGCACAGAACCAAGTCCTACCAACTGGTTATCATAACTGATTTGATTTTTAGCAAGTTAGGAGGGCTTGTTGTTACGCTTCTAAGCAATTTCAGGTATTCCATGCTCTTCTCTTTCCATCTTTTTCTTCCCAATAGGCTGCCTCAGTGTTCTTATACATTCTGAGAAATATCAGCTAAAAAGGAAGTCTAAGCAGTGCATACCACAGTGTTGGTTTCCATAGGAATAGTAAACATATGGAAGGAAATAAAAGGAACAAAAAGCAGAAGACCCATTCACAGGCCAAGTGGATAATCTCCATCATTCAGGACCTGAATACTGGAGTTACGATAAAGTCTGTGTAAAATATACACTTTTCTTCTTTTTCTAAAGGATTTATTCTGTGAAGCCTCCATTATAAAAGCCTCAATCTGAAAGAGATCTTGAACTCCATTATTTTAATGAGTAATTTCTTATGTTAACTCCAGAGGACTATGGGGTCTTAAAACACAAGGTATCAGTTGAGACTTTTCAAAGTAAACTAGTCATTTTCTTGTGATGACAAAAGAAATCTGGGGGTAAATCAGTCATAGATAGTTTTATAAAGTTAAGGGTCATTATATTTAAAGCTCAGATTTTTAAAAATAGCAACTTCAAGAGCAGTTAATGAGTTAATTAGATGTCAAAACTTGAAATATAATATAAAGATTCCAAGAGGTAACTAACATTTTATAACTTAAACTTAACTTTTTATAAACCAACCAAAGAAGAATATGCAGGATAGGAAATTAACACCAGTGGTAAAACTCAGTTAGGAAATAGCTATGTAATACCCTGACCCTTCTAGAAAAAGTCACCTCTACCTACAGGACAATGTGACTTTAGAACTTAAAAATTCAAGATTTTTTTTCCTCTTCTTCAGAAGGAGAGATCTTAAAATAAGAAAATTTTAGACTACTGCCTTCATGATCGGAAAAAGAATGAAAACCACCCCCTCACACAGTAGCCTTTTTGTAAAGATTGGATGAAAGCCGGGCCTTGGCAGTTTGGGATGGGAAAAAAATTAATTGTGTACTGAGACATGAGACAGTAATAACTCACACAGACTTCATTGCTTCATGCCAGACAAAATAAAAATGAAGCCAAGTAAGGGAGAGCTGCTGATGAAATTAGTGCCATCCATTTTTTCCCCCACTAATTAGAAAGACCAGAAAGAGGCAAATAAAAACCTTAGATATAAGGTTATTCCTTCCACTCTCCCTATGGCTGATCCAGCTAATTTGAAGAAGAAGTACAATTAATGCTCCTAGGAAATATTATTTTAGTTGGATGAGCACACAGACCTGGGCTGGGTAATCAAAGTGAGGTTCTTTGTTTAGGAAAAAAAATAATCAAAAGTGTGGTTTGTGCATAATCTGCAGAGAGCTACTGTCCTGTCAGAGCCAGATAACATGGCATATTGAAGAGGAGAAAGACAATTGGGGGAAAAATAGATAACATACATTAGCAAACTTTTCCCATTCAAGAATCTCTTTTCAACACATGCAGATATGCACACACACATAGTACCCTCTTGATGATATTTCAGATTTGTTATTTTTTTAACCTAAAATAGATGTTTCAGATCTGTTATTAGTACCAGAAAAATAGTAAGAAAAACAAGCTTGTAAAATCCAGATTATGTCCCTGTGTTTTTAAAAACTGTACTATTAATATACATATGATCCCACTGTCTTTAGCCTAGCTTTAGCTGATGAGACCCTGAAAGTGAAATCTGCCAGGAATTTGCAGTAAAATAAAACTAACTAGGCTAAACATATTGTCCTTGCTGGCAAAATGCAGCAAAAATCTATAAAATTGATCTGTCTCATTTTGAATGCAGCTGAATGAATATCTCATAGTTTAAACTTCCACTCAAATTCTTGCTATTCTGTTCAAATAATGACATATTTCTAAATCCATATCTATAAATCTCCATAACATTTTATAAGATCAAGTCACAGCTTTAAATTTACTGAATAGAGGTACACTTCGTACCCAAATTTCATTTCTTCTCTTTGCAAAATATATGCATGTAGACATATTTCAAATGTGCATGGATACACACACACGGAGAAATCCATCTAGTGCTATTCAAGAACAGCTGTAAATATGTTACAGTTGTATTTTTATATTACTTGTACTACCCTCAAAGAGACAGAACTCTTTCATCTGCAGTCAAGATCCATGAAGAGGCATAAAAGATTCCTAAAATGACTAGTAGCAGTACTGTGTACGTCTGTACTGAATTAAAAAAACAAAACATTAGAAACTTGTTTTGAAAAATAATCCTATAAGACATGCAATATATTTCTAAAGGGATGGCAGTACAGATATATTTACTTTTGAGATGTTCCTAATATTTCCTTGAGCACTTATCTTACTACTTACAAGGAAACATTGTATCTTTGGTTCTTTCCTGAAATACTTCTTGAAGTATATTTTGAAGGTAAATGTAGTGGAGTTTAAGCTGTGGTCTCAGTTAAGAATTATAAACTGGCATTCATGTGTCTTACTTAGAACCGTTACACAGATCCAACATTTTTAATCTTCCTTCAATGATGACTTTTTAGCAACTTAAGTTCCTTCCAACTTGTGCTGAAAATCATGCAGTGAACTGCTGAAAAATAACAAGAGGTTCTAGGAAGCACTTTACTACCTCCTGAAGGGGCTGCAGAGAGTTAGATAATCTAAAGGTAATCAGGTGGAAAAAAGTTTCTAAATTTCTAAAATACAAATTTACATGATAGAGAAGGAAATATTGGAATGTTGTTTTTAAATATCTTAAGGGAAAAATGAGCATCCAACGCAATTCTGACCAAAAAATTCTGATACTCAGTATATAAATACAATCTCATTACTTGTGACTACTAAGGTACATACAAGGAGATGATAAAATAATACATTTCTAACCAGACTAGGTCTCCATTTCTCATTTTTATAAGTACCTGAATCCATACATTTGTGTATAGAGATATTAGCTATCCATGAGCTCAGAGCTCTCCCTCAGTAGTTCTATGAATGGGCTGAGGCTGCACAGTGGCAGTTTTGCAGAGAGTTGGCATTTGGCTTTCCATAAATAACTTTTGCTTGTGTCAGAGTTTCAACTGGAGATTCTTTGATCACATCAGATCGGAATATAGCCCTGACAGATACAACGCATAAATCAGTATTACACAAAATGGCCTGCATTTCCTGAAGCAAATATAAATATTACTGTTGGCAACTGGTGTAAACTCCACTGAATATGCCTTCAGGCATGCCCTACAGAAGCCTTCAGAATATTTATTTAAATGTTGCTATTTCCCTGTCAATTAACTTTTTCATTTGTATGTTTTAGCAAAGCCTGTAAAATCTTACCACAGCCATCTGAAGCCTTTGAATGAATGTTTAAATGTCCTTTTAGCAGTATTCACTGAGGTCTCATTTCACTACACCTGAAAACCTGACAGGATATACAAAAATGAGGTTCCATGTTGTTTATTACTTTAGCTTTTAAATAAGCCAGTTAAAAAAAGCCTTACACCAGAACCCCACCTTTTAGATACCCTGTCAGTGTTAGCTATTTCCAGTTTTTATAAGGTGAAAAGATTTTCTTAAAGCTTTCTGCAGCTGCAGCATTTCTAAGCAAGCATAAGAGCAAACAAAGGTGCAAACAAAGAAACTTTATGAGAACCACAGTCCCTGGCTGTGTAATTAACTGGAAATACTTCTGAGTTTCAGGGACACCTGTTGCATTCTCCTCAGGTATTGCTGTTTCCACTAGTTTTCAAAATAGAAAGAGATGGTCAGCAGTCTCTGTGTCAAGTGGCACAAAGTTTCTTAATGCCAGGACTAGATTTTGTGCTTGTCTTGCAGCACTGCATGCACTATAGAGATGACACAGCAGGAAAGTTCCCATGGTAGAGGATGACCAGGCTTTCCTATGGCATGGGAGGAAGCAACACGGTAGAGACAGGTCCTGCGTGTCCGGATGTGTGATGGGGGAAGAAGTCCCACTCTGTGAGTTGTAGCAGCTGAGGCTGAATGAGAAGATAGCAAAGGAGGAAGACATAAAAGAGCAGTCCTACTGAAGGGTGAGGGCCCAGAAGGCATGTAGCTGTGTTAGTACTGTTTGTCTTTTTTTTTTTGACACTTCCTTTTGTAAGTAATGCTGCCAAAGGAAACATTTGTGAGGGAAAAAGATAAAAGAGGTGTAAAGGCAGTAGTGATTGATGCCCAAGTTAGCACCATCATTCCTCCAAGTAGCCTGGTAAGCTCTTCAATAACCAACCAACACAGTTTAACATTTGGTGCCAACATTTCAACCAGCATAGCATTCTTAATACTACACTGGGACCTCACTGATACTGAGAGAAGATTTGGACACAGGGATCCCCAACTTAATTTAAGGGAAGGGAGAGTTTCGCTTCCTGAGTTCAGGAAACTTTCTGCTGTTTCTATCTTGGAAAGAACAAATTTAGCTGTTTTACAGTGTATAACGTATTCAGTCCAGCGGCACATGCTCAGGGTAGACACAATTTCTAACAGCACTGTCCAGACTTCAAATGGCTTTATTGGAGCATTCATAACAACACAGAGACAAAGGATCTTACCTTTATCTACCAGGCACTCCTTATCTACACACTGCTTTAGACCATTGTAGCTGTGACAGCACAACTAGCAGAATATTTTAATTCAGAGAATACAATTTAATCTTCCCATGCCAAATCATCTTTGCTCAAAACTTCTCAGGAAATTTAGCTTGATACAGGCATCTGCTATTTCAGGCCTAACAAAGACTTGGCAAACAGAAGAAAACTGTGTCTTTTAACAGAAAGTTTTATTAATTTTAAATCAAGACAATGTTATCAACCATGGCTTTCTAAGCGCTTGAAAAAGACAGAGTATCACAATCCTTTGAAACAAAAAAATACAAAAAATTTGGAAAGGTGGAAAAATTTATGCAGCAACATTATTTTTAAAGGAGATGTCCAAATAAACAACCATAACTTCATACATACCAAGAATTACACAATATCCTAGATCATGAGATATTATTTCTGTTATGAACAATATTTGACATTTAGTGAAAGGACAGAAATTCCATTTCACATGAAAATAGAGCACAAATGTAAGAAGGAACCATTATTAGCCAGGCCTCCAGAGCAATATGAAGAACGGTTTGGAACAATGATCTAATTAATCTACACAGACATCACCTTCTGAAGAGCATATCTACCAAAAAAGAGCATATCTACAGTTGCTAGGGCACTCCTGTATAGGAAACACTCATGAGTTTAGTAATGATCCCAGGTGATTAATAAGCTAAGGAGACACTGCAGCTCCTTGATATTTCAGCTAACACATTTCCACACAGCCACAGGTGTGTCTGTGTGGGAAGAGGACATGAGCATCTTTGTGTATATCACAGCAAATGGCGCAGACCATTCCTTGCTGTATTCAGCTGTGTTGAAATGGTTATCTGTCATGGAGATTCAGAGACATACAAGAAACACTTCTCACATTATGTTCTCTTGTCTTTTATATAAGCACTCAACTGGCAGGATTAATTCTATATGTTTACAATTAGTAGAAACTCATAACAAGGTATTTCTGTCAGAATATGTCTAGCAAAACTGAAATATATCATTAAAAGATGATCATTTTGCCAAATTTCTGTCATTTTTTCAGGATTCTGGAATTCTGTGGGAAAGGAAAAGTCCAAGATTTCTAAGAGATGGAACATTTTGTGCAGCTTTTTTCAGTTGATTTTAAAATGTTCTGTTATAAAACAAAATGAAAAAAAACCCAACATGGTAAATGGAATGTTTCTATTTTCCATAATTCCATAATTCTCAAGTAACAATCTGAATCTTCTTTCTTGACAATGTACTACATTCAGTCAGAATTAAACAGAATTCGAAATCCTTTGAAAAAATCAAATACTTTTGGACACATAAATTCAATTGATGTGTCTATATTATATATATGTAACTATACATAATTTAGCAAATTGAAATTTAGGGTCTCCATCTTTGAGTATTACTAGAAGAAAGGTGCTTTTCTTCTATCTCCTAGCTAGGAAATGACAGGCTGGCCTTTAAGCCTGCGTGTTAGGTACTCTGCTGTGAATCAATTCCCCATAGGTTGGTTCCCTGGGGAGGAACAAAAGATCTCTTGTGCCCATTCAGACCTAAACAGTAGCCACTGAGAGTGTCTCCTGGAAGTGCACATAACTCATGGAGCGGGAAAGCTGCCTTTGCCACCCTTGCAGAGATGAGAAGGCTGCAAGGAGGGAATAGAAAACGCAAGAGCACCCATATCACCAACAGGACTTGTGTGAGAGGCACAGAGATACTGCAGCCACTAGCACAGGATGACAATTCTATGCCTCACAACTTGATGTGTCTTTCATGCTCCCCAGTCAGTTCATCCACACAGAATCTGAATATTTGGGCCAAACATTTCCAAGGGGTGAGTACTCAAATTCTGTGCACCTGCCTGAGGCCCCACTCAGTGTGCATTGGAGCCAGCACTCTGCAAAGGCACACCAGAACAGCCTTCATGTGGTCAGTGGGCATTGCATACATTGGTTTGGCCAGCACAGAAGTCCCTGTCCCTTAAAATATCTTGAAAAAATGTGAATCCACTTGCTTTGTCATAGTTGTGATATAAATTGAAATTGCTACAAGCCAAGCACATTCTGAGCTGGAATTTCAGCACCTCACTTATCTCAAGTAAAATGTAATACTGGCAGCTAAAAAACAAACATCTGCCAATTCAAATAGACTGTAGAAATAATGTTCTGAAACACAAACACCTTTTGACAGTTTAGGGAGTCTGGGCAGAGCTGGTAGCGACAAGTACAGCTGGGCTGCCCAATGTCTACCATTATAAGATACTGTTTTAAGTAATTTATAAAACTTTGCCAACCTTTAACTGTTTGGGCTGAACTTTCCCAGACAAGGTATCTGTCTCAGGCTGACTTATTTTGGAAAGTTTCATTGAAATGGTTCAATCATTTCCAAATAACTTAGAGAAAAGTGCAATATTACGTTCCTGCTAAAACAGAAATAAACTGTACAATAGCATTGCTGAGTTCTAAGATACCTGTACTTTGGAAAGGGAACGTCAAAACAGCGTCAGCATCCAGGACATGCCTTTTGCTGGTTCTGAAAAAATCCAGATACATTTTGTCATTACATAAATTTCTTAAAATTTTAGTTTGTTTTGTGCTTTGTAGATACTTGCTCTAAACTAGTAGCTGAACTCCTCTGAGACCTCATTTTCATGGAGCACAATGCCACCCTCATCCCCTCCTCCAGCACAGCTGTGGCTGACTGCATGGGGAGGCAATTTCATCTATAACTACAGCTCTGGTTAATTCAGGGTATAGAGATCAAAGCCAACATTTTTCAGTCAGTCTCAAGGTGGGCAGCCACTAAGTTTCTATCCCACTGAGAGCTCTGCAACAACCTCACTGGTCTTAAATGAAAAAAACATATGGGGCAACTTCACAAGAATTTCAAACAGGTCCACTCTCAGCAGATCTCTATGGAGGAAAGACTACACAGACATATGCAGATGAAGCCAATCACTTTACTTATACACTGTATTAGCCAAACAGATATCAGTACTAAGGAATAGGGGTGGATTAGCACAGTGATGTGCCCAAGCATGGGCCCAGAATGATGCTAATGTTAAAGTAGATACATGGTTCCCAGGTCAGAGGTCGCTTGTATGTGTCCAACTTGAAGCATGAACAGAGGAATTGAAGAGTTCTTTTATACAGCCATTTCACATCATCTCTGCACACCCTACACTGTGTGTGAGTGTGGAAGTGACTTGGACATAGCTTGGTAAGGATATTTGATGACCTAAAAGTTGAAAGAGTCTTTAGCCATTGTATTTGAAACAGAAGTAGTTCAAATTAATTGTACCACACACTGAAGGAGACATTTTAGATTGTTTTTGTGGCAACGTTGAAAAACATGATCTTTCCTCATTTGAAGGTTAATCTTTATTGAATGTTTTTCTCTTTTCTAAATGATTTGTGTTCATCTGACTTGTGATATTCTTCTTTTATTGAAGCATCAATGTAATTCTGAGTTTTTTCAGTATGCAAAAATGCTCCAATTCAGCCACAATTTATTATGTGTGGATCAGATATGCCTGGATTAGGTTCTGTGATTTACTGTACTGGTACCAAATTAGACATTTCTCAGGGTTTCCTGCCAGTTTCAAAATGAATGACTCTGAAATTGTTCTCCAGTTTTATTTTGAAAAAAGATGAGTGAAACCAGTGAAATACCGTCTTGCACAGTGTGTGAGAAAGGTTTGACTTCTGTGGCACCTTCTCTCTGTAGATCATAAAGAACCTCTCTAAAATCATCAGGTGTGGCCTCCATTCTTTTATTACAAGAATAATCATAATAAATCTTCTCTGAAGATCCATGCAAAGACAATATGAAGTCTTACCTCTTGGTTACCACCACTGTCACCACACTACCATTGCCCTGAAAAATGTAAATCTAGTGATTTACAAGACAGGAAAAATGTGGATTTATTGTGCACATCATAGCTCTGCTGTAATGGTAGTTGTCTAGTAAAAGTGTGGGATTACTTTGATATAGCATGGCACAACACAACAGGTAGTAATTTATGTCAAATGGCATTAGATGGAAGAGGTCAAACGTAAAATTTTGCTTCTGGAGTCTGTTTTGCTATTTAATTAATACTTGAGACAGGGAGGACCTGCAGATGTGTGACTGTTCTGGTCTGGTACAAAACCAGAAATAAACAGGTTTCGGGGACTGCTAATAGTCACATGACCTGGATGTGTTTGAAGGTGTTGTTTGGAGGCATCACTTGCTTCAGCATTCATTATCATAACTAAATCACAGGCTCTATGGTGTTGATGAACCTCATTTACACAAGTTCATAAAACTGCAGATTTTTTGGTACTGATTGCTGGTTTGAAGTTGTTCTCAGGGAGAAGAATCAGAAAAGGGAGAAAAAGGAGAGAAAAAGTTCAGCTAACTGGCTCACAACAGAAGGGTGAGCTAGGCATAAGGGGACAGAGACATCTCTGTGTCTTAGTTTTCTCTAGTGAGCTGAAGAGCTAGAGATGTGTATAAGGAATGGAAACTATTTGTAGGCCACTCCAAAGAAAACCAATAAAGGAGAAAAGACCCTCAGCCTTTTCTTTAGGTGGATCCTCTGCCAAATCCCACATTGATGTAAGCAGACTGGGAAAACGTGGATGTATTCTGCTACTTAAAGAAGAAGAGAACTTTAGAAGACTTGGCTATAATACAGTCTCTGTACTGCAAATAACTGAGGAGAACAGGGTACATGCGGGATTCACATGAGCTGCTGGGATCAACAGCTACTGGGAAGCCTTTGCCAATGTCTTAAAAAGGAAACCTGATCGTGTTGCAGAGGCACCACTTACTCTGTACTGCTTTGTGTTGTGCAGCTGGAGCCCAGGCTAAGTCTTTGAAAACAGAACTACAACCTTTGTAAAAATTCAACGTCAGCATTATAGAGAAAAGACCAAAGTATTAGCTTTGCAGGGTCTGTGGAGAGCAGGACCCTCTCATCTGAAAAGCAGCTTATCCCTGGAGCAGAAGACACCAAGTGGTTAGGTTTTTAGCCTAACATTCCCCCTAAGTTATTCTCTTTTGAGAGATTCCATGCAATCTCTATTTTCTCCATGGAGATCCCAAGGTTTAGCACCTGCTTCATCTACCCAGACCACCAACACAGCCAATCTCTGCTGTGTCTGCTCCAAGCTACATATCAAATACTCAGGACATTCTTCCAAAACATGAACTGGCATTTTCCTGGGTATAGGAGTATGGTAGGAAAGAAATTGCAACTTTAAAAACATTGTTTTTCCCTAACCATATTAAGACACACAGAGTGTCATATTAGGAACCCACGGTAAAGAAACGGTAAGGACTACCTTTTGCCTTAGGTGCAGTATATGTAGGACCACAGGATTGCTCATGCTGCTCTCATCATTCCTACCAACATTTTGAGATCTTCCTTAGTTTTCAACAGACATTATAAGGTACTTTTATAGTGTCTAATTTTGAAAAAAATGAGCTATGTACTTATATGAAGCGGTTGCTCTAGCCTTCCCCCAGTCATCACAGTGCTTCTGCACATGTTTGGATTTGAATAGCTTCATGATAAGCATAGGCTTCAGTGCATTTATGGAACAGAAGTCTTATAACTTAAGCACGGTACAAGGTTTAAAAATCTGTCTGATATGCAAGTAGTATAGATATATCAAAGAAAACTGCAATGACTGCACAGGATAAGCATCAACTGAAAACTGAGATTTTATAGATATTGATTAAAAAGAAAAATGTGAAGTAGTTTCTTAAAAGTTAGGCACAATAAAGTCAAGAGAGAGATACAAAATATCAAGTTCCTAGTAGCTGACCGTTTTATTTTCCATGACTATGCTGGCAGCAAAAAAACCCCAAAACAGAAAGAAGAAAAACCCTGATATATTTCTTCTGAGCAACATCCCACAGAGCCTAAATTCACTGGTGAGGAACTGACAAACTGAAGGAATCAACACTAATCAGAAAAAGCATGCAGACTTGTGCTAAAGAGCTTCATAAGTAACTGAATGGGTGAATTATTTATCCAAAATTTAATCTCTTGTGCCCTTACAAAAGTAACTGTTTTAATAAAACTGTCGTGCATATCGAAAACAAGCTCACACTAAAAAAAACAATGTTATATGTAGACTTAAATAAGAACTTAAGTAAAATGTACTTTTATATCTCATATGTACCTCTTCTAATGGTGAATGCTAAGTCATATATAAGGGTTTATCAGTGCTAATTAGTAATAGTGAGAAGAAAGAACGAAGGTAAAACAGAATGTTTGGAGAGAACATAGAAAGCAAACAGAAGTGAGACAAATTTTATCTAACTAGCATGCCAAAGGAATGATCATCAGGGGAAGTTACTCATGAACATTCAATATTTTAGAATTTCCTACCTTTAATGCATTTCTCAATCCAAATGTAATTAAACTGCTTCATGTTTTCCCTTTCTTTCAGAAATGAAATAAGAAAAAGGAAAAAAAAGACCAGTTAGGTTTGCAGAGCTTCTAAATTGCTCAAGAATTCAAGTAGAATTATTCAAAAACCGCAAGACAAATGCACATGACTGAAAACTGTTCATTAAGTTATCAGAGAATTAAACAATCCACTCTCTTCTCATTTTGTCCATATTCAGTATATCCTCACATTTTCTTACCAGTGTTACTAAATTTTACTAAATCAACCAATTTTTTTTCTGGAAAAAAATTTCAAGACATAATTGTTAAGTTTTGTGTTTATTTTAGGGTTTCTGCCTTTTTTTAAAAAAACCAGTAAATTATTATTTGATTCCAAGAAAGTACAACTTCCATTACTCATTGCTAGCTTTCAACAATCAATTTTGTAGTTTTGGTGTAGTTGGGTCTAAATTTGAAAGTGAAGTCACAACAGAAAAAAAAAAAAGTCATGCAGACATGTGAAACATCAAAATTATAGCTTCTTGTTGCAAAGGAGATTATTTTTTACAAGTTCTCACTATTTCTCATGCAGCAGCAACTAAAAGAATGCATAACAGAAAATAAATATAAAGAAATTTTTTACTAATCCTTTTTATTTTAGCCATTAGGTAAGGATTTTTGAAAGTGAATGAAACCATTGTTGATTTGCCCATATATTTCTGGGTTGGGTTTTTAAAATTTGATTTTTGGGGGGATGTTAGTAAAGGCTGGAGAGAGAAGCAATATTCAGGATGAAAACACATAGCTTTCAAAAACAGGAGAACAATCTGCTCATATATAAACACAGTGGGTCCTTTACATAAGAGTAAAGGTAAAATAAAAGAAACAAAACAAAGAAATTGTTATTCAGCTATGAGAATGCCACCCACTAAGTCAACCAAGCAGCTCTCCCCAGCATAGATCAGCCCCCCTGACAATCTGGCCCTGTGTTAAATGGATAAGCTTAGTAAAAAATCTAAACTCTATCCTCCACGGTGCATGAACATACACAAACCAGCTATTTACAGATGTTCGAGGAAGTCAGTGACAATGTCCTGAAAAGGTATGTTATAAGTCTCGCCAGGTGGAATTTCTAAAGAGCTATTGGACA